TAATAATTAAAAAAAAAAAAAAAGCCAAACATTGACCTCAAAACCAGCCGCATCATATTGCCGTCTTTTATCTGGATCAGACAAAATGTTATACGAGAAGGTGACCTCTTTGAACATATCTGTGGCGTTAGTGTCATTTGCATTTTTGTCAGGATGATACCTGAAATTATGTAAAATAAGGATTAGCAACAAACAAAAATACCCTTTTACAACGTGCTCGTGCACAGACACATATTTGTAGACACAACACAAAGAAGGACCCCGATGAAGTTTGCTACTTGCAGAACCATATCAATATAAGAGAGCTATGAACAAATAGAGAAAGATTACAGAATTTATTATTTTTGTTGTTTAAGACAAGCTGTTCAAATCGACTCAACCTTCAACTTACAATTGTCGGTTCTTATTGTATGCCAATAGCTAAACCAAGACAGCTTGCACACTTCCCCACTAAAGTTTGTCAGAAACAAGATAACTATGTTTCTATTTCCAACAAGAGGAACAAAGTCTACAAACTAGGAAGGTACCAAAGCGAAGCTGCAATAAACTAGAGACGCGACCTATATTTTCTTTCCTTCGGAATCAGCTAAACATTTTATTTCTACATTCTTCCGCTCCCGTTCTACAGCTAAACTACGCAAAATCAAAATCAAAACCTGTAAAAAGAAATGCTTTCACAATGTGGTACTTCAAAACCATCAACTTTAGTCCTAAAACCACTTAAACAGAGCAAAATTTATCAAATTGAAATAAAATAATCAAAAAAACTTCAAATCCACTATTTTCCATCTCTCATCACACATTGATATCATCGTCAGAAGATAACTAGTGCTAAGATAGCAATCAAACTGAAAACTAAATAAGGCTTACTTCAGTGCCAATTTCCGATAGGCGCTCTTAATCTCTACATCGGTAGAATTCCTGTTCACTCCCAACACCTCATAAGGGTCCCTCCGCAGCTGCTTCTCCGAGTCCCCTTTCTCTGCATTCGATTTATGCCCCGGCATTTTCATTATTTACAAATTCCACCCCGTGAAAAGAAATTTCCAACAGCAGGGACACGGGTAGAGGTCGAATCTGAAAGATAAATCACATAATCCTTCGTTCCGCTGAGGAATGTCGGACAAATTTCATAGCTACAAATAGGATTTTGGAGCTGCAACAACAATGTCAGAAAACCCTAGCAAATTGGCACCAAATGAGGTCGGAATCACACAATGTCTCTGCCAAAAATGGACGGAATTTATGAATCTTTCTCCGGCGCAATACTGAGAAAGAACAAACTGGAAAACCCTAAGGCTATGTTTGGTTCAACTGAGGGGAGGGGAGGGGAGGGATTTTAATGGAAGGAAGGGGAGGGGAGGGAAGGTGATGTAAAGTAATTTTACCTTGTTTGGAGGGATTTTATAGTAGGGGAGGGGAGGGAAAATAGTAAATCTTGTTTGGTAAGAAAATGAAAGGGGAGAGAAAATAATGTTAAAATAACAAATATATCCTTAATGATGTTATAAATAAAAACTTACATATTATGTAATAAGGGTAATATTGTAATATAATGTATTAAAATTTTCCCTCCCCTCCAAATTCCCCCACTTTTGGAGGGGAGCAAAAATGGGGAGGGGAGGGAATTTTAACTTAAAATTTTCCTTCCCCTCCTACCCCAAATTTCCAACCAAACAAGGGGAAAGTAAAAAATGTCCTCCCCTCCCCTCCCCTCCCCTCCTTTTTCTCCCAACCAAACAACCCCTAAGAGAAATTAGTTGTCATGTTGTGCGTTGTTTTTTCCCTTTTCGAGTTCTTTTGGGTTTTTTTTTTAAATTTATATTATATGGGGGGCCTTGTTAAAAATTCAAATTTATTGAGGTCCCTGTTTTCCTGAGTTTTCGTTTGTCGCCATTTGTTACCTTCGTGGATGTGTTTGAAAGATGTTACGGTCTCGTTACGGAATTATTCCGTTGAAATTTGTAACCATTAGGTTAACTATCTCTGACGATTACATGATTGATTTAATGATTACAAATCCCGAGGGATGATTCCGTAACGAGACCTTAACATTTCTCTAGTGGCTTATTCTACTCTATTTAACTTTTAAATGTAATTGTTAGGTGAGAGGTTATGGAGTGAAATGAACTGGATGAGATGCATTGGCATAATTGGCATCTAAAAGGTGACGCATTTAAATCGCAGTGGAGTGATCGAGTGAGTTTGAGTATGAAATTTCACCTCTTAAATGAGTTGTCATTTTGATGTCTAATTATATCATAATCATGAGTTTATTTTAGCCTTAACTGGACGATTTTGGCCCCTTTATAAACTAATAATATGGTGTTATTGAGTTTCCCATAAGAGACGTGATTTGAGTAAAACAAGGAATTATAAATTAACTTTTTCTATACTAATAATGGAAATTAAAATATTCTCATAACTTTAAAAAGTGATCAAAAGTAGGATTTTTTGTCCTCGGATTTATGATTTCCGGTCAGAAGCCACTCGCTCACAGGCGATTTTTTTTTTATTTTTTTTTTACAATCTGTCGCCTCACATTCGACGTGGTTGTGTACACCTGCAAATAAAACTGGCAAACTCACAATTGTTCTCCCTAGTGCTGTTAAATTAAACGAGTCTGGCTCGGCTCGGCTCGAGCTCGGCTCGTTAA